TTTTTTTTTTTAGGCCGGTGAACTTTGGATTATTTAATTCTTTGAATTGTCTCCTAATTGATTATGGCTTGGTCAGGAAAATTACATTGCTCCAAGGATGGTTCTTGCAGCATATGGTGTAGACCATGATACACTGTTGGAATATGGAGGATCACCTTTATCAAAACTTCCTAAAACATCTCGACCTCCAAAGCCAAAACTGACTTATAAAGGAGGGGATTTCAGCTACCCAGCTGTTTCAGGGGGTGTGTGTTTAAGTTACTTCTCATTCTGTTTATGCCTATTGTTTGATTGTTATTCTAGGATCCTGACAGTTTTACCTTTTTCTCTTTGTCTATCAGTTAACTGATTTTGCTCTTGCCTTCGAACTTCCTGGTGGTGGCTGGATTAAAGAAAAGAATGCTATGACTCTGACTGTTCTTCAGGTTCCTTCATTCTTCATAAGTTAGTTCTTCCTAAAGAAAAGTGCATCTGGGACATTTGTTGCCGAGACTTCTTAAAATACTAGTTCTTCAAGGAGTAATTGAGTTTTCATAAAAATATTTTTTCCAAGGAAAGGAGCATATGAGAACATCTTGTTTCTTGATTTTCTTGAGTATGTTCCTTTTCATTTGATTAGTACTTCGTTTGCTTTTCTTTACTGCTGTCTTTACAAAATAATATCTTAATTATGCAACATTTTGCTCTGTTTTTTGTGTTTTTTGTATGAAGCTGCTCATGGGGAGAGGAGGTGGATCATTCTCAGCTGGCGACCCTGGGAAAGGGAGGTACTCAAGATTATGTAACTTGTATTAATGACATGCTAAATTTGTTAATTATGTCAACTTTTGCACGCGTTGTCAATTCAGGTGCAGTTTGGTCTAGTTTGCACTAAGGGCTTTACAAGTGTACTGTCCGCTAAGATGGTGCTTATCGTGTGAACTTCCAATTTATCTTGTATCGTCTTTGTTTGTCATAAGATTAATTCACCTTATATTATGTTCTATTTAGCTTGAAAAAATTGTAATGTTTGATTTTTAATGCACCTTTTTCTAATTAGTAAACAGATCAACGCGTCCTGAATGAGTATCGTTCTCAGATACAAACCTTTTCTGGTTTCAGCAACATTTGACATCGTACTGCAATATTTGGAATCCTATCCACCACTGTAAGGAGTCCTCTATTTATCTACATGTTGTATCTTTTTTTTTTTT